CTGAAAAGAAGCTGTTGTGGACCTTTTTGTTCCAGATGAGACATCTGCCTGCAGATTCTTGCCTGAGTTTTAATATTATACATTCTGTGTGGGCTTTGTTATCATTTCATTGTTTTCACTTGGATTTCTTATCAGATCACTAGAAAATCATGGCGGAGGGGAACCCAGATGATTATGGCAGGATAGAAACTAAAAGTAGGTAGGGACAAGGTTGCTTTTTTTAGGCCTGGAAAGGAAAAGCGATGTGAACAGTTTTGTATGTGTGTGTTTTTAAACAGTTATCCCTTCCTCTCCAAAAAGAGTAGCTGTGATATATAACATAGCATGCTTACTGAAACCAAGAAAAGGTTGTTTTTTTTTGGGGGGGGGGGGGGGGGGTCTGATTCCTAGCCCAATTAATGCATGGCTTGTCCTTTAACATGAATGTGGATTTCTTTTTAAGCCAGAACAATGAGCAGCTTTGTACTGTACCTCAGGTTTTCCCCCTCCTTGCCTGTGCTGCGTGCATTGTGTGTTTCTTCCTATCTATTCCAAAGGGAGAGCTCGTGGGGAAGACAGTAGAAAAAACTGGAGTAAAAACTTGTAAGAGCTCCAGAAGGGTTGGGGCACACGTTATGTTTCTTTAACAGCCTCTCTGGTGAGTCAGATGACTGAAGAAGCATCGTTTCTTCCTCCTTCTTATGGCCTTCCCCCTTCAAAGTTGTAACCAGGGTTTTCCTTTTCCTGTATTTTTTAGTACTTTTCAGTCTAATGAGAAGGAGAAGATGCTGTAACCATCCTAACCTGTCTCTTTAAAAAAAACAAAAAAACAATATGGGTGAGAAGTAAATGTTGATAGGCTCTGCTTCAGCATACTGTGGAGTCGCGTTTTATCCCAAAGGAGGAAATAGATCTAGCAAATGTTTTCCTGTTCAGACTGAATGGGAAGCAACAAGTTTTGCATGATGTTTTGTTTTGGTTTTTTTGCCTTCTCAATGCCTCTCCCATTAGCTGGCTATCGATTGCTTCAGGACTGTTTTTTGTCACAAGCAGACACTGGAGGCCAGGAGCTTTTGGGGATCCTGCAGGACCACAGCTCATTCCCTGCCCATCAAATTCCACCAACAGTATATCACAGCCCCTGTCAGATTGCACGGCTCTACAAACAGCATGTTTTCAGCAGCAGCACCAGGGGAAAGGGGCCAGTATTTGCTTGGAGCCTGTAATCATAAGGCAGGCCCTGTACTGTGCGCCTGTCGATATGATCACTCCTCCACTCCACAGAAAGTTCAAAGTAATCCAGATGTTAATATAGCCCTTAGGGTGTGGTACCTCTCAGGCTGAGCTTCCTCTGCACTAAGGACCCTCTTTGGGATGAGGGGAGGGATTGCCAGAAACAGATGTAAGCAAAGGAGTCTGTGAGAGCTAAGAAAAATGGCAAGTCCCATAACTAAGCCAGAGACAGAACTTCTGTTCCAGTTGCTACCTTTCTTCAGTAGATCCCCTGAGATCCATAGATCCAGAGCCAAACCCTCTGCTTTCTACTTGGAGGAAGGACTTTCTCCACTCCTCAGGGTTGCATAGCATTCTTCAAGAGAAATCTCTCGGGATCTTCCTTCCTCAAGGCTCCCAGCCACGCTTCCCCACCACACCACAGAAAGGAGTGATTTGGCCCAGTATAATAATTATTGTTGCTATATTCCATTGCAAATAAAGTTGTTCTTTCAGGAAAAGCGCATGCTGTTTCATGCAGTTGTCTTTATTTCAGCAGTGTTATTTTATTTTTTTTATTTCCCACCATAGTGCTGGAATACATCTTGGTATGCAGCAGTAATACTTACAATGATATAGTTTGAAGAATGAAAAACTATTGGCAAGCTAGGAATTTTTTTAAAGTACAAAAATTGTTGTCTTCCTTTAAAAACATGAGAAGTCAGCACCCACCCATCTTGTTTGAATTGGCAGAGAATTGTATTTTAGTGTTAAAACAGCTATTTGTACTCAGAAGTTGTAAAAGGCTGTCGTTCATGGTGCATTCGTTTTTCCTGAAGGAAGGATACCATGCAAGCTGTCAGTGACACTGCAAAACTGGAAGGTGAATTTTTCAGGCTAACATTTGCACGTCTACTCCTTTTTCCTTGCTGGAAAGGAAGTTCTACACTAGCACTAAAGACTGTGCTAAAAATGCAGAGGTTGTTTCTCTGAACAGATCCTCAACAGTATTTGAAATTACTGTGGACCACACCCTGCTTTGGCAGTTATATAAAATAGATTCACTTTTTTCTCTGTTTCAGGAAGTTTCCAATAATATAATTGATAACTGAGACACTGGTTATTGGTTGAAAAAATCAGGAACACCTCAGCTTAGAATGAAAGATGCTTAAATAAGTGTCTTACTTTATTCCTTTTTGTGTTTTCTTTAAAGAAACAAAATACTTTTAAATATTTTCCCCTGTTTTTTTCCCTGAGAAAAAATAAGTAAAGGATGCTGTTAAGTAACTAGGAAGAGACTTGGGCCACTCTCAGAAACATTAAGAGTAATGTCATCTTAACTTTTAATTGTAAATGCCATAAACACGCTTCTGTGGTGTTCTAAAACAAGAGAGCCTTTCCCCCCTGCTGTTTAGAAAAAGATAAAAGAGTACCATTTGTACGGGCTAATATAGATTTGACTGAGACTAAAGCAGATGAAATCTACTTGGAGAGTTGTGCAAAATGAGCAGGTAATAAATTCAATACTGCTAGAAAAGTTCTGCTTGATCAGTAAGATGCTGAGCATCTGCAGCCCTTATTGCACTTAGTGGCTGCTTGAATGCTCAAGTCGTTACTGATCAGGCCCCTGTCAATAAGGAGCATCAGATCGTTTTAATGGAAGGCTGTTAAAATGGATAGAAAGAAATTGTATGCAAACTCATTCAAGACCAGGTAACAAATAATTTTAAAAGCCCAGATTAGGGAGGCAGTCTAGTGTCTATAGACCAGGCGTGGCCAGCCTGTAGCATATGTGCCACAAGTAGCACGGGAAGCCTCTGTGTGGCACATGACAGATTGGGGAGGGGACAGGCTGCATAGTGGCAGATAGGACAAGAAGCACAAAGCAAAGCAGAAAATTAGGCAGGGAGACAGGGCTAGGAGTAGACAGCTGAGCAGCCAGGGGAAGAGGATCAGAGTGGCATTTGGAGGGTGACAGGATAATTAGTGGCATGCCTATCAAATGGATTTGCCCCCACTGTTATACACCATGAACACTAGACCTAGGGCCCTCTAGGGCAGTAGTGCTCAACCAAGGTGGTGTGAAATCCTTTTAAGGGTGCTGTGGGATACTGCACAATATTAGCCTTGTTAGTTATGCAAACATATATGCGAGGTTCACCCAGTAGAGATTTCAAATAAGAATTTATAGTGTCAAAAACCATTCAGATCTGCTTCAGTCTTTCTGAGTTCTTTGCAGAAGAATTGCTGCATCATTTTTCTCCAGTCAAAAAAGCAAGTGAAAGCTAAGAGCTGCTATTTCCTGAGGGCTGCCTGGAGTGTAAAGAGGGGTACCCTGAGTCTTAAAAAAGTTGAGAACCAGTACTTTGGGGTTTGCATACACTATGGAGTCTCTACCATGAAGCTATGCCAGCCTACTTATGTTAGTGCAGCACCCTAGTAAAGATACTGCATATGCTGACAGAAAGGTTTTTCAACTGTTGTAGCTGCACCACCTCCCCAAACAACATGCACTAAGCTTACAAAGGCCCCTTCTATTAGTAGGGTTTTGTCCATGCTTGGGTCAAGCCAGCATAGCTACACAGACTAAGGAAGTATGATATATTTACATCGCAACCCACGCTGCTACTCGGGCAAAACTTTGTATTGCAGACCAGGCCCAGGTTTTCCATCACTGTTACTAGTCAAGTCCTAATTTGGGAAGGTGTGTATGTCCCTGTGCAAATTTTAAGCAAGTGAGGAGTCAAACCTGTAGATATTGATTCTGTTTTAGTGATTAGGATAATCTGTGGCATAAAGAACTACTCAGTGGGCTCATCTACATGTGTGCTTTAATGTGCAGCTTTATTTTACTGTGCATTAGAGCATCACAGCAAAAACCATGCTAATACACAGTAAAATTAGGCTACTGTGCATTTAAGCGTCATAAAAAGCATGCATTTTTGCTCTTGTGCTTTAGGGCAGCCTAATGTGCATTTAGTACCTCACGTTAGTGGTACTAAATTTAATGAGGAGTAGCAAAAGCGCATTAATGAACACACAGACACACCCACTGAGTTATGATGGTAGAAAGTCCTCCTCAACCCCTTACCCACATGTCTTTTCTGTGACTTGTATTCATCCACCTGCAAAGCGAGTATATAACTAGGTTATAGTAATAGTTCACTAACATTTGCCTAGTGCTGTGAGATCCTAGGGGAAAACATGCTATGTAAATGCAAATGTGTAAGTTCCCATTTACTGTCAAGAGGATAAGTACAGTAAGATGTGCACATTCTTTTACAAGAAAAATTCTATTTAGTTTAACTCTAATTTGGGGCCTTTGCTTAAATAAGAAAGAAACATTTTAGGATGCTGTTCAGGGTCTGCTGACGGACACCATTTTGAAAAGAGAGGTGACAGAGCTTGTAAAATACATATTATTTTTCAATAGTGAAGTAACAAAGCTATTTTTCTTTCTAAAGTTACGATATTCCAGCTCTCCATTTTAAAACTGTAATTATATTTTGCAATATTGCTTGCTGAAAAATACCTTCCCTTGGGCATCACTGTTTTTTGGTTGTTTCCTTTGGAGTGTCAGCTGCTTTCATATCCTCTAAAATGCCATCAAAAACTACTTATTGAATGACTTATTCTCCAGCTGCAGTTTACTTTTATATATCACCCCAATATCATAACTATCCCTTTCTCCTTTTTTTTTTACGTTAATTGCATCTTGGAGATAAATTAAGGACACGATGTACGTTTTGCTTCCTAACACTGCTTTTTTCCCTCTGTGTTCTTTTCTCATCCATGTTTTCTTCACACAGTACTAGAGGGTGCTGTTGAGGAAGAGGCTGAGGATCCAGACTCTGTTACTAAGCATACTACACTAAGTGAGGAGAGCAGCAAGCAAGAAGATAACCTTGTTGTGCAGCAGTCAGGGGAGGAAAATGAAGGTATGTGTTTAACTAGGATGGAGTGCCTCATTAATTTAAAGCTTCAGCAAGGCTTACAGAGAAATTCTTCCCCACTCTCAGTCACTTATGTATATGAATATAAAATATCTTGAATAGAAGCACAAGTGCATAAACAGTCTCCCACCACTACAGGGCTTCAAAACTAGAGCTCTTTCTTGGCTCCTGCTAACTTGGCACCACTTTATTTATCCTCATAAAACACCTGTTTCTAATGCTCAAACTGTTTGTCTTCCAAAAACAGTATTCAGCAAAGGATTGAGTGCACAGGGGCAAACATGTCCCTTCATGTTCACCCCCATGTTCTTATTTCCCATGTGTTCCCTTTTATACACCCCATCAAATCTTATGTTCCGCTGTGTATCCATTGAATGAGTCGGGTTTTGAAAATTCATAGTTTTAAAACATGCTGCTCTGGTATTTCTGAAGCAGATGATGACCAGTGTTAGAGATGAGTACCGTAAGTAGTTGGGCTGCAAGCCGTTTTAAGTATAGCTGAGTGTAACAGGAACATGGTTGCTGTGTACGCATGTGATAATGAAATGGGCCTGGTCTAAAGTTTTTGCCTGCACTCCCAATCCATTCCCCTGGCTGACAGTGGCTATGCCTGTAAAAACCCTAGCCTAAAGGCAGTTACAGCAACAAAAAAGTCCTTTTGTTGGTAGAGATTATTCCATTGGGGGAACTGGTTTAAGCTGAGTAGGCAAAAGGACTCCCGCATATTTGTAGGTTTTGTACAATGACAACTTGACACAGTGCTCCCTAGGACTCCTCCTCACCCCAAAGATTGGGTTCATAAGAGCAAGTATTCATCAGCAGTGCTCCACTCTGGTCATGGGATACTATATACTGTGCTATAACAAGAGGGAAATCTGATTTAAGCCCAGTCCTGATTTTGTATTGAAAATCAAACTCAATGTGAAGGGGGCACCCTAACAAAAATGGCAATTTGACCTATACATTCCAGAAGTCAGTAGCTTTTTCATTAGTAAAGGATTCTGAACTGTTATGAACTACTTGACACCTTCTTACCATCAAATGAACTGGGTAGTGGAGGGAGAGGGGGTTGGGTATTGTTCCACCATGTACTGTATGCTACTGAGCAGGCTGTTAGCCCTCCAGTGGGGAGTCTCAACAACTGTTTGGTTTTGTTTTACAGTTCCAGAGAAGGAGCCTGAAAGCTTAAACAATCTCAAGTTATCGCCTAGTTTACCAAACAGTTTGGAAGGCACGGATTTATCCTCCGTTGACGCCATGATGTCAGCAGTCATGAGTGTGGGGAAGATTGCTGAAAATGGTGGGAACTCTCAGAACATCAAATCACCATCAAAGTCTCCTGCACCAAACCGGATTGGCAGGAGGAACCAGGTATAGAGTTGTGTGCATGCAGCACAGGGGGTTAACTTGATGGAGGGTACAGGCTTAATTTACATTTTCATGCTCATTTTGCTTTTCAAATAGTATCCGATGGCTGCAATACTTTGCCTCTCCCCATGTGGCCAGTAGCTCTTTAAAGAATAATTTAAGGACATCAGAGCTGGAGAAGACCATTTGTTAGTCCCTAACCCAATAATGCTCTTAAGCACATGCATAAAATTAAGGATGTGAGTTTTCCCATTGAATATCCATCTTCTTGAAGTTAAACCTGAACTTAAATTTGCTTGTCAAGGGCCTTAGTTTTTTGGGTTTTTTTTGCCATTATTCTTTATTTCTTTAGGTACAGCCTTTGCTTCACTTATAAATTGGAACGTGGACTTATTGGAGGTTGTTTTGGAGAAAATTTCTGGTACCAGTGTTATGTGGTTTGATCCAGTTTATAACATTTACCAGCTGCTGATACTATATCAGTACCAAATGGGAGTAGAGAAAGGAGAAGTACGTCAGTCAAAACAGTAAAACTTAGTGATGCTCCTGCAGTAGTGCTAATCAGTAGCCTGCGAATGAATCACTTAGTTCAAAGACTTCTAAGTAGATGTAGATTTTTATTTTCTTTATGCAGAAATTCATTAATTGTAAAGAAAAATATGTCGGGGCAGTATGAAGTGGAAAAGAAAAGAAAAGTGTACCCATCGGAGTCTTGTCTGGTGGCTGCTGGTTTTAAGTTTTGTGAAGGCAAAGATTGCCTTTGGCACCCAGTTTCATTGCATTACGTAGGAGAACGCTGTCCAGACTGGCCTTAGTGGCACAGCTGTCTGTTAGGATACCTTGTGGTTTGGCTTCAGGGGAGTCTGTTACGAGTTGCTGACCTTTATTCCACCTGGTATTTTGATGGGCATCAGATCAGGAGAAGCTTGAGAGTAAATGGTAGGATTAGGAGGGATTCTCTACCATGTAAAAATAAATTAACTTTTCTCTTTTTTTCCAAAAAAGAGATGATTTGTTTTTAGGGAGAGTAGGGAATAAATGGCTATATCATGGTGTCGCTATAGTTAGGTTTCGCTAGCTCTGTTCAGGAGCCTGAATCACTGTCTGTATTCCATGAGATGGCAGTGAAATCCTCTGCCCTTAACCTTTGTCCTAAGTCTATGGTTCTTTTTATGATGCTGCCTTTATCTTGGCTCCCATCTACCCAGAGACTGGTAAACATGGACTTGCATCAGTTTGCATCCATTATAATTTTTCTTCAAGGCCAAAGTAACTGAGAAGATGTAACAAAGAAGCTTCAGGCTACTCAAGAGAGAAGAACGAGGAAACCTGATGTATAAACTCAGAAGAGTTTTGTCCTCCGCAGAGTGCAGAAGAGCCATGCCAGTTTGCTTTAATAAAGAAAGCAGTTAACAAATTAGCTGCTAATTTTATCTTTCAGCTCAGGAAGTGCTCTTTCACCAGCATGGCTCCAACGAGGCAGATTAATGCTGTGCACTACATTCTTCAGTGGTGCTACTTTTGCAGAAGTGATGCTAAACCTTTTTTTTTCTCTCTTCGTTGATCTGGAGTGGGTCAGCCAACTGAATTCCTGCTTCAGCCACCCTCGACTTAAGTGACCTATATTGTGGTATGCAGCCTGTACCCTTTGCGAGTCGGGGAGAAAGTTTGGATTTTAGTTAATGATAAACTCCAAAGTCAATACTAATCACCTCTGGCTCTGCTATAGTGTGTTTCTGATCTTTGCTTCAAGGTGAACCAGTAATTACTCTATCCTTTGTTAATTTGCTGATTCAAAGAGCAGGCAGTCTAGAAAGCAGTCTTCAGAACGATTAATTGTATCATGTTAGATCTCTATCCTTTATTCGAAAGGAGTGGGGGGAAAGTAGGCTGATAATTTCACAGAAATACCCTGTGGATTAAACACCATCTAAACTGTCAGCACAGCTGCAGGGATTTTCCTCACAACGCAGCGTGTTTGTTCTCTCAGCTCTGAGCCAACTTTAACAGGGCTGCAGTATAATTGGAGCTGAAGGGTACTTCACAAACTGGTCCTGTGCAATAAAGTTAAATCGGTGGAAGGGGTGGGTGTAAACATTGTGTTTTGTATTTCTTTCTTTCCTTTTTTTTTTTTTTTAGAGAAAGTTTGAGCGCACATCTATTTGACAAGACATATTTGTTCAGGTTTCTTAGGAATGGTCAGGTTTCACAATGGCAATTTTTTCTCACTTGGCTTCTAATGTTTTATGAATGACAAATGCATGAAGCCTTGGCCTGTGTTCATGTAGTGTTGTGAGCCCTACTTGAGAATAGAGAGCTGTGTGGTACAACTGTAATCAGGGAGGTTTTTTGTATGCGAGAGAAGGCAAAAAGGCTAACCACTGCAAGTCAGGCTGGAGTCCCATGCTTTAGATTTGAGGTTAGTGGTTTTGTTTGAGGCTGAAGGGGTGTGAAAAAGGCCACCCATCCAAATGGAAAAGTCCTATTGAACCTTATTAATATGATTGCCCTACTTCACAAGAAGTTATTTGAATTCAGTAAAAAAAAAAAAAAAAAAAAAAAAAAAGTGCCTCCCTTTATAGGACAGTTCCCTAGAAGAAAGGTGTATAAGGTATGTTCTCTAGGACTTTCCCTCATACACTCCTGGTGTGAGCTCTCTGAATTCTGTAGGGCTTCTCCAGGAGGTGGCCAGGCTGTCCGGTCGTGTGCGTTGTAAATGGTGGAACCTTGTTTTTTTCATTTGGATGGGTGGTTCTGATGTTCATAGATACATAGATGTTAGGGGCTGGAAGGGACCTTACAAGATCATTGGGTCCAGCCCCCCTGCACTTGGGCAGGAAAGATTGCTGGGGTCAGATGACGGCAGTTGGCAAGACTACAGCCTCTGGTTCCAGTCAAGAGTTTCTTCTTTCCACCCGGGGCTGCAAGACCAGTGGGTGACTCGATGTCTCAAGGGCATACTTAAAAATATAGCACTGAACTTTTTGTTCACACTGTTCTTAGGTGACTCGACCGTGGTTACTGTCACTACTCATCGGTGTGAAAGGCAAGTCAGGCTTATGCTGCCTGCCTTTTGTCATGTTCTCGCCGGCGTCAGTACCTCTTTTTTAAGGCAGTGATCTCATCAGATCTTGCAAGGTTAAAAGGGTTGGGTTTGGCCAGTGTTTGAATGGGATGCTTCCAGGGGAAACACAGGATGCTGTAGAAAGTTGTGTGGGCGATTCAGTAGGTGCAGCTCCTCCCTCTGACTCAGTGTAGCAGGATGTCAGCACAGTGTTGAGGGCACGGTGCCTTTTGCACTGTCATTCAGATGAGATGTAAAACCTGGGCCCTGATGACTCATGCCCATTAAAGATGCCACAGGTCCTTTTTGAAAGACTGGTGATGTTGACCTTCTCATTCTGCCCAAACTCCAGTTTGGATGATGGCATTTTGCTCACCTAAATTCTTTCTGGCAATTTCAGCCTGTCACAATAATTATCTTCACTTCCTGTCCTAAACTGCTGTTACAGAGTTTCTGCATACTGTGAAACAGCTGTTGTATTTTGTGATGGGGGAAGTGCTCCATATTTTAAAATTCTAAAGCTGCTAAATCTTCCCTTGGGGATCTTTTCAGGATGATAACTGGGTAAATACAAATTTGCTGTTTTCATGCTTTTGAGCTTGTGTGGCTTAGGATTTCAGTTCCCAGCAGTAGCTGTGGTGATAACTTTTCGGTGGTTCTCCTTCTTATATACTTCCCCCTGCCATGTTCTCCCTCTTGCAGGAAACAAAAGAAGAGAAGTCTTCCTATACCTGTCCCCTGTGTGAAAAGATTTGCACTACACAGCATCAGCTAACTATGCACATTCGTCAGGTATGCAGACCACTCATTTTAATATTATGTTTATATGAAAGAATACCCTGACTTGGAAATATATGCATTTTTCAATAATGAACAGATTTCCCTGCATAGACATAGATAACTTTTATTGTAATCGCAGTTCACTTCCTTGTATGTTTTATGCCCTCATATACTCTTGTAAAGGCTTTAGAATGAAAAAAATGTTTTAGGATTTCCTTTCCCCCCCCCCGTTCCTGGCCAGTGATGATATGTCAGATAATGAGAGGTTTCCTTTTCTGTTCCTTCTGTGAAACTTAAAAGTAACCTGTGGGTTCTGAAACCCCCTTCCATCACCCAGACACATCCTGCTTATAGTTTGTTTCAGCATAGTTCCCTTCAGAGTCCATGCAGTTTAGGACTGTGAACACCAGAGCCATCAGGCCAGTTTGGCATTGAAGTGCTTTTGCCCTCTGCAGAGTGCAGCAGCTTTGGGAAGCAGGACAATCATGCAAATAGTACCCTTCCTGTAAAGATGGGGTATGTCCTCCCCTTGCTCCTCTTTTTTTCTTTTTTAAAAGAAAAAAATTACATAGAGACCTTGGACCTTTTTTTGCATTGTAAGGAGCAAACAGACACTGAGGGCATAGTTTACTTTCTCATGATCATTGAATAATATGCATTTTGTTTTTTTTTCATTTTATACCTAAATACAGTTTAATTCTCAGCATTGTATCATTGATTTTTAGATGCTTTCTCTCTCTCTCTTTTTCTTTTTTAGCATATATAGTGTCAAAGCCCCAATTGTTCATCCAAAGGCAGAATATTATTCCAAGTTCTTTTTTGTAGTCATTTTAGACTTCAGCAGTTGACACCTCTGAAGCTTATCAGACTGCATCTTCCCTGCATCCTAGATCAACCCACTTGCAAACCACCCATTCTTTATTTCTTACCATTTACTGTTGGATCCCCTTGTACTCTCCCTTATCATACTGTACTGCAGAAATACTGGATGTATTGAGCATCACGATAGGCATCCATTTGCTGGATATCCCTAGTACATTTTTGTAGTAGCTAAGGGGTTAATTGAGGACAAGTGCCTATAAGGCAGATGTGGGCAATTATTTCAGCTGGAGGGCTGCTTAATGAGTTTTGGTGAGCTGTTGAGGGTCAAAATGGTAGCCCCTTGGCAGGTGCACCACCCCCTGGTTGCCATCTTGGGACCTGAAGTCCTGTCCCTGACCTTTGCCACTAGAAGTCCCATCCTTTGCACCTGGAAGTGCTCTTTTTGGAGAAGGGTTGCCATCTTGGAATGAGAAAAACCAAATCGTATACTAAAAGTTAAACATCTACTAAAACTTATTTTAATTTTATTTCAGAAAATATTTTTGTCCTGATTTGTGTTTGCATAGTAAATATAGAGATAATTGCAAAACAGCTCAAAAATAAAGTCTTACTGTTGTATATTGTTTGTGGGATAGTGTGTGTGGGGTGGAGGGGGGATTGTGGGGAGGGGTGAGGGGTATGTAAGGGTGTGTGAGGTTTGTGGGGTGTGAGGGAGGGTGGGGATTTGTGGGATGTGAGAGAGGGAGGGGGGTGTGGGGACCCTCCCACATGCTCCCCGCACCATGGCATACAGCCCCTGCCACCAGCAGCAGCAGATGGCAGGCCCTCAGGTTGCTCATGGCCTGCTTAGGCGCAGCTGCCCAATGGCAGATGGCTACAGCCAGTTTCGAGAGCTGCACGTGGCAGCAAGGAGCAGAGCCAAGCCAGCCCGCTTCTGTCATGCAGGGCTCGCATGCAACTCCTGGAAATTGCGTGCCACCAGTAGGAAGCGCTGTGCTATGGAGCCAGCTGTCTTCCCTGCTGCCATGTGTGGATCCTGGGACTGTGCCAGAAGTGGCAGGGAACCCTGCTTCCTGCTTCCCCCTGGTGGCGCGTAAGTCCTGGGAGCTGCATGTGAGCCCTGTGGGATAGAGGCAGGCTGGCCTGGCTCCGCTCCTTGCCACCACATGCAGCTCCTGGAACTGGCTGGAGCTGCACGCCACCAAGAGGCTGTGCCTGCATGGGCCGTGAGCACCCTAAGGACCTGATGTCTACAGCTGCTGCCGCCGACGGCAGGGACTGTGCACCATGGGGGGGATGTACAGGGGGCTCTGCCAACCCCCACCCTCCCTCAAACCCTGCAAACCCAGGGTCTGCCACCCCACAGTGCATGGGCTCCATGCTCCTGCCAGCCCCATGCTCTATGCTCCTGCCCAGCTGCAGCTTTCCTACCTGCTGCCCAGAGTGAGTGCTGCAGTAGAAACATGAGGAGGAGCCACTGGAGGCCAAAGAAGCTGAGCAGATCCCTTGGTAGCTACAGCAGTGGCCCTGTCTGCAAGCTGTACATGCTGACTGGGGAGTGAAGTGCGTGGGCTGGGCAGGGTACAATTAATCGGTGGGCACCTGCAGGCCGGATGAAATCACCTGGCAGGCTGGATCCAGCCCATGGGCCATATTTTGCCCGGCCCTGATATAAAGCATACTTTTACATAAGGTATTGTGCTAAGCAGAAATTTAAAAAGAAAAAAACCAGCACCTTACTTTTCACTTGTTACAGTTCTCTGTAATAGTTCCTGGTTACTTCATTCAATAACGATCCATTACTTCCTTTAGCATAACACTGACACTGGAGGAGCAGACCATTCCTGCAGCATCTGTGGAAAGTCTCTGAGCTCAGCAAGCTCCCTTGATCGCCACATGCTTGTCCACTCAGGTGAAAGACCTTATAAATGTTCAGTATGTGGACAGTCCTTTACCACCAATGGAAACATGCACAGGTGAGTATGTTCATGACAGCAGCATGAACGGGGAAGGATCAGGGAATTGTAGGCCCATTGGGTTTCCTTGGATGGAGTGAGTTAGAAAATGAGTTAGTAAAATGGTGAGTTAGAAACCCATTGTTGGTCAGGGATGTATGAACTGACGTATATTGAATTATTTTTAAAAGAGGGGGGGAAAGAAAACATGTAATATTAGGCTCTGACACAGTTCCAGTGCCAAGATTCCAAATTTTCAGAAGATGTAAGAATTGGGGCTGGCTTAGCTATCATTATACGTAGTCAGGCCACAAATACCTGGAAGCACCACTTGGTATTTGTGCCAGCTGAGGTAAATTGTTCTAAAATGGGTAGTATACACAACCAGACTGTAAAGGAAGAACAACCAGCTCTAATTGGGCAGATGAGGAATGTTACTTTTAGACTTTGTGATTTCTGGGTACAGTGGGTACTTGGGTGTTGTCATAAGAGACGGTTTCAAAATAATTAGCCTTTTTTTTTGCAAGCACTAGTCAGATTACTAGTTTGCAAAAAAAATTTGTACTTCTAAAACAAAAAAGTTTCCAAAGTTAATTTAAATGGTTTGGTATATAGTGGTACATACTTTGGTCAACTGAAGCAGCAAAACATTTAATCTTGCCCACAATTTTGTCTCGCACAATTACCTCATTCATTTGTTTGTACTGCTAGAGCACTTAAAATCTGCTAAGCACTTTCCAAATTCATAAGAAGATTAAAGAGCTTACAGTCTACAACTAAACGAAACCAGATAGGTGGGGGAAAGGGAATATTGCATATAAGTAAAATGACAAGAGTTGTCTCAGACTTGTTCTTTTTGGCGAGGGATGAATTGGTATATTTTTCATTGGATTGAGTGTAACCAATCTCACTTTGTTTTGGAGGCAGTGCTTCAATGTGGGTTTAGCGGGGTGATGTTATGTGAGGTAAGAGTGGAGAAGAGATGGACACTTAGCTAGCATTTCGTTGTTTGGTCTTCTTTTGCTGTTTGGTCCTCTCTGCATGGTGAACATCCAGTTTAGAAACATTTACATGATTTACGTTATCTTCTGAGTGAAGGTGAATGGTAAGAAGAGCAAAACAGGTAAAACAATAACACATGAAAAGACTTGAAGATGTCCAGAGGAGACACCAATCTCAGGTGAATGAAACTGGTAGCCATGGCATCCAGGTAGTCGGAGATACTATCATCCAGCTCTCTCAAAGATTGCACATCCAACATTATTCTGTCTACATCGGGGGGAGAGCTTCCTTGTGTTTAGCCCTCTTTACTTTGCTCATATCTCTTTCCCAGCCCTGAAGTCAGTCCCTGAGGAATTGCCAGTTTTAGGTTCTGCATGTGTCTCAGCTCCTTTCTCCACTGAGCAGGAAGAGGAAGGGTATGGGGATAACTGAAAGAAAAGGCTTTGTCTCTTGGGGTTTGTCCACGTATGACATTTCAGCTGTAGACTTGCCAGAATGCAGGCCACTGACTAAAGAAAGTTTGTCCAAAGGAAATGTGCATGTTAAAACCTAACAGCAAAACTTGAAATTTTTACGAGGTTTTTCTTTAAAGGCTTATTGGGATGGAATTTGGCAGTTATGAAGTGCGCTGAGATGGATACAGGGAATAGACTCCAATTTAGGACATACCCATTTGAGAAATGGATATTGCCCATGTATCATCTGTATGGATTTTAGACACCAAACTTAAAACTAATAAACTTTTTAAAGGATATGTTTTCACTGTGTGATTTAAAACAGCAGCAGCAGAATGTAATTTTGCAGAAGTTTCAGACTCATCTCTGATCACTTAGGGCATTTGTACATGTACTTCAGGGGTGAGGGATGCTTTAATTAGGGTTGCTTTGAGTGCCGCTCTAATTAAAGTGTCCAGAGTGTCTTGTGCATCACTGTCCCCATGCTGAAAAATGGTGTCAGGGTCGCTTTAACTAAAGCTTGTTAAAGCACCCCTGCTGCCATTTTTCAGCATGGGAACGGTGATATACAAGACGCTGGAGTCTGCTGGAGCATGGTAATTACCACACTCCAGTAGACTTGATTAATTGAGTCTGCTCTGATGCGGTGTTATTACAGCTCTTAAAGAGCGAAAACTTGAGACCACCATAGTCGAGGGGAATTTGCTGTTGATTTTAGTGCCAGGCTTGCACCTTAAATATTCTGAAGATAGTTGGTTTTATGATAGTAAATTTTAGAAGGGCAAGCATGTAGGTGATAAATGTAAAGTGAAATTAAATCTGTAGTGTTTTATAATGCACTCTAACAATTTTTTTGCACAATGGATACATCTCAGGCACATTTTGTTGAAAGCTAATCTGAAGTCAGTTTTTCCACATTTCTCTCCAACACTCCAGTAGCACTGTGTCTTGCAGGCCACAAAGTAGTAACCAAAGAGCATTCTTCACATTAATGTTCACAACTTACTTCTGTATCAGGTTTGCAAAGTGAAGATCCACGGGCTTGCTTAACTCCCTCTGTGCAAAGCACCTACAGGCACTCTTCGAGTGATACCACGCCTGCTGTTCAGCATCAGTTGTACCTGCAGCCTGTCTATGGGGGGTAAGACAAGTCCCTTTTTTTCCTGGTATTGCACAATTTTTATGATTTTCTTTTTAATATTTATTTGCCAAAACAAATATTTTAAAGATGGCAAAAATGTGCAAAGTGGAAAAGAATGAGACTTATCGTACCTCTTTTGGCTGACTCCTTGGGTAGGTGTGATGTCATAAGCAGAGGTTATGTTGGGGCCTCACAGAGGTGAAGGAACAAGTGGATTGGTGCTTTGTAGATCTGCTGTAGAAGAATGAAGGTGATTTGTGAACTGTTCCTGGGTTTCTTGCCACTCATTGTTTTATTTAAAAGCTTTTAAAGAAAAGAAAATAAATATGTACAAACAATGTGAATGCTGTGTATATATAAAACATCAAAACAGTTTTCTGTTGGAAAATACTGTATGGTCCTGTAGGAAATTGTAGCAGTTTGTACAAGGATGGAATTTCTAGTCGGAGAGAGATTCTCTCTAAGAGCCTGGTAGTTGGGAGACTGACTTCGGGGTCTGGGAGATGGAGCTTCTTCAGGTCCCTTTTCTAAGTCAGGAAGAGCAGGAACTTGAGCATATTCACTTATTTTGGCTTTCTGTTTATAAATGTATATTTCACTTACCCTGGTTTTCTGCTTTTGGCTTTCATTCTAGTGCCAGAACAGGCAACTATTTGACATTGCAAAAAATGTTGTGGGGTGGAAAATCCATTTTTCTCTCCAAACTCTGCTTTGATGCCTTTTTGCTTCCTTAATCTGCAGCCTTGAATACATCTACATTTCTTGTCTTCCAGAAAACCCCCCAACATTTCTTTTACAAATGAGTCTTAGCTTAGGACAGTTTAACACTTTGTCTCTCTTTGTCATCCTTCCCAAACCGATGCCAACAAGTAGATCTGAATGGGTGGACCCAGTATGTAGGGCGTGAGGAAGAAAACCAGTCCTACTCAACACCATTCAGCAACAAAAGCTGAAACATGACCTTGTATTCTGAACTGGATGAATGGATCAGCATCAGAAAGAGGGTCTCTATCACAGCTACTCGGCTGTTCAAAATTATGTCCTGTTACTTTGAAACCCACTACTGGAATAGGTACAGTGTGACCCAAAGCACTGTTAGGGCTCACGATGGATCCTGCATCTGGAAGAATTGTTGTTTGAATCAGTGGAGTTCAGTCTTTTTGGTTGATGTGCCACAAGTCAGGCCTGCCCCCGACCTGAGTACCACTCTGATCTGCTTCCTCTACCTGGTCTGCTACTCTGCTTTCTGCCCTGTACTCCCTACCCAAACTCCTTCTCTGCTTTCTGCTTCCTGCCTGTGCTCCCTGCCTGATCTCCTGCTCTGCCCTCTGCCCTATCTGCTGCTGTGCTGTCTGCCCCTTCCCTGATCTGTCATTTGACATACAGAAATTGCCTGTGCCACCTGTGCAGGTTGGCCACCCCAGTTTTAAATGAACAGATGTGTAGGCCACTTGGCCTTGGATGGAGAATTCTTTAATTTTTCATTTATCTGCATTTCATTTCCATGATATTGACTGAGCATCTTCAACAGTAGAACTGCTGTTCTACTGATTGTTATAATGGCAAATATCGGTTGGGGGTTCAAGTAGGGACCAGTGGAAGAGGGGAAAGTTAGCAGTATAAAAAGCTGCTTGCTGTAACATCAATTTTTTCCTGGGGAATGTTGGGAAGAGTAGATCCATTACTACTTCTGTGCAGTAAAATACACATGCGTCCCATGGTCTTTGGACAGGTGTTATTTTTTTTAATTATATGAAAAAGTATTTAAAAAAAAATTCTTAAAATAGTACTATGTTGGAACCAAAAACCTTAACTTGCAAGTTCCTTCAACTGGAACCAAGTCCAGAAGAGAGATCAGTCTGTAGGAGAATGTTACTTGGAACTCGCAGAACTACGTGTGTGCCAAAAAAGTTGATTCTTAGTCGCAGTGCATGGCAGGATGTGTAAAAGTGGGTCTTCTGTAAAAATTGAAAACCATAGTTGAACCAGAATTATTTTGATGGAAGAATCTTAAATCAGCACTACAGAAGAATTTTAATCTACACCCTTACTTTTCCCCTAGCTGTATGCTGTTGGTGTGTCCAATAATTAGCAGATAATATATTGCAAAGTCCTCTGGGCTTTGGTTCTAATAGGAGGTTGAAAGTGCTGCCTCTGGAAATACAGCCAAACAAGAGTTGTTCTATTACTATATGTTTGGTTGTATCTTTTGCAGGGAAGCTGGGGATGGCCAGGACTGCTTGCCTGTCTTGCTTTCATGATCAAGCTGAGACAGAGTAAAACTTGCTAAGGTCTTCATGTAAAAGCTGAAAATATCCCCAGGCTTTTCCAAAAGGTTCCCTTCTGGATACTGCATGAGCCATGAATCCTGTTCCAGTTCTATGCCCAAGGATAGTCTCTTCATTTTTCTGCTTGATAAAGAA